GGCACAGGGAAATTATTTTGTGTGTGGCACATAGGACTAAATAGTTAAAACCCCACTGCACTACTAATAGCTACAGTGTACTTGCGCCCTCTATAAAGCAAACATGTATAATCGGTGACCGTTTGCTCACATGATCCCCTTTTTTCTTATGTTAATAGCTGATTTGATGAGATAAACACATGTCAGTGAAATTACAGAGAGGTCTAATCCCTCCTGGATAGACTAGTGTAGACGGGCTTTAAATGACATTCATGTTTCTGTGGTAGTGTTTGTAATATCATCAAAGTAATACATCAGACCATCGACCTATTATTCGGTCCTTGATTAGGTTGCGATGACAGATTATAAAAGCAGACATTGAATATGAAATGATTTATTACTTGAATAAAGAAATGTAATAGCTTGATATACCTATTTAAAGTGTTGAGTCGAAAAAAAATAATATAATTTGTAAACCTACACCATAATTTTTTTCGTTAAAATTTCAATTGTATTTTGAAATCAGTTTCACGAAATTCCTACAATGTTGATGATACATACGGACTGAACATAATTATATTCGAGCATATTATTTATGTTCGGTCCTTAGTACCATCGAAATAATAAGAATTTTATAAAACTGAATTTAAAATGTAGTTGAAAAAAAATATTTAAAATTTTTAAAAAAATGTAGCTTGTGAACCTAGACCATAATCAGTACGCAAGTAACATCACCATGATTTGGAACTTGAATAAATTAAGGTACAGACTGAACATAATTATATTCGAGCATATTAATTATGTTCATTTCTTATGTACCATCAACATTTTAAACATTCCATGAAACTGAATTAAAAATATAATCGAAATTGAAAAAAGTAATAAAGCTTGCCAACCTAGACCATAATCAGTCCGCAAGTAATTCATTAACAATTTGGAACTTGAATAAATTAAGGCAACTTGCAACATAGTCTAGGTTTTCAATCTATGCAACTACCATCAAAATAATTTGGAACTGGAATAAAGAACTGTAGCTTTAAAACCTACGTCAGATGTTTAGGGCCCCGTCTTATGAATAGTTGCTATTAAAACAATCCCAAGTCCTCAATATCAACCGCGAGTATGAATTAGCAGTCTCCTATCTCTTATGGATATATTAAATTGCGATTTATATAAATCGGAAATCAATTGCGATTAATCACAATTTTTGTTGGTATTAAACTGGACCCTGAAATCTGAAATCCTACACTACTGAGGTATGTTTGGAGCCACGAGGGCTTTATTCTTTGTTTAGCATGATCATGAGTCAACACCATTAGGGCTCCAAACAATCGAATGATTTTGTGAGATTGTTTTTATCTGTTGCCTTAGAAACTCGTTCGTGTATTTATGGAAGAATATCAGGTAACTGATTATATATACAGATATCTGCCCATTATATTTTTTGTTTAAAGAAATGTTGTATTCATAATCAGTTTGTGTGTAAGGATTGGTATTGAGTTGTTACCGTGGGTTGTAGAAGAAAGAGAGAGAGAGAGAGAGAGAGAGAGAGAGAAGGAAAAGGAGAGAGAAGGGGCATCTCCCGTCTTCATCCATTTATAAAAAACATCAATGTATGACTCATCTTCGCCCCCCTCCCGTACCACAAGCAAGGCCCCCTCCCCCCCCCCCCCACTGTCTGCGAGTATTTTCTAAACTTCCGAAGTACAATCAACCTGAGGTCATTTCACACATTGAAATATATGCGAGCGTGATATTGCATCATCCGACCGAGACTTGAAATCGCCATGAAGTACTACTTCTTGAATCTTTGCGATCGTCTTGCTGTCACAAATTTGGAATCACGAATGATTAATAACGTAGCATCCGAATGCATGGGACACGTGCCCCCCCCCCCCCCCTCCTCCCCTTCTCTCTCTCTCTCTCCCTCCCTCCCTCCCTCTCTCTCTCTCTCTCTCTCTCTCTCTTTCATGTGATCGATAACGTAGTATACGAATACATGGGACATGTGCCCCCCCCCTTCTCTCTCTATCTCTCTCTCTCTCCCTCCCTCTCCCTCTCTCTCTCTCTCTCTCTCTTTCATGTGATCGATAACGTAGTATCCGAATACATGGGACATGTGCCCCCCTTCTCTCTCTATCTCTCTCTCTCTTCCTCATTTTGCGAAAAAAGGGCAAATATAAAAAATAAGAAAGAGACTAGAGAACAAAATGGATAGGGGAAAAGGAACGTGAAAAAAGTCGTACGACCCCTCACACATCTAATTCGAAGTATGTCATCTATCAAATAAAACAACTGGCACTGTCTTTAGGAAGGAGATTCCATAGTGATGGTCCATTAAAATAAATGTTCCTTTAGAGAAAGGTTATTTTAAAAGAGGGCAATCGAAACTTGTTTGAACTTCTTGTTTCGTAAGAATGAATTTCAGCATTTACAGTGAACATCTCATTAAAAATCGATAGAATATAACATTGGTTATCAACGTAAACTCATCTGTGGAAAATTATCTTTTACCATTGTCCAGTTTGAGAGAGGTAATGGGCAGGAAACAATAACCAACCAATAATTGATCCGATAAGAATTAAATATGTCAATCACCGTTTCTTGCCCTACTCTTCTCTCGCCCCAGTATTTCCTTGTTAGGAGCCGTTTTCACAAAACGATAAAACTGTTGGATGCTCGTCTAGATGAACACAGAAACAGCTATGTGGGACCACGCACAATAAAATGGAATAGAGATTTAGTCCAAATTTTTCAGTTACTTCTCGTCGAATATGGGGGATTTAAATAGCGATCCTTTTCAGGATCCAGATGTGTTTTTCCAAATTGTTATTTAAAAAAATAACAATAACAATAACAAAAACATCACAAAATATATTTCCCCCGTACCAATAACCAAATCTGAACCTTCTCAAACCTCCAACGAGTGACCATGATCAGTCGTCGTAACAGTGTCATTGTGATTGGGATCAAGTTTAGGACATGTTATCAAGCGTCAGTTTTGTGTAAACAGGGTCGCAATTCTTCTTGTTCTGAATGACAATCCAAATTGCTGTTTCCTTTAACAGCGGAACTGTCTTCGTTTTAACTGCGGTCATATTGATAACGGAGCGGGAGTTCAATAAAAAAAATCAGCGGCTGAAAACAGACTGAATTAATCTTTAATGATACACGTGCCAATAAAATGTTCCTTTGGGGCGTTGATATTTATTTTCATCACATGACTCTCTTTTAATTGTTATCTAAACACGATTACAAAGATGTTCAGGGTATGAAGCAATTCCAACACCCCAATTATTACTGTAGGCGGATTTAATCGATGAGAACCTCCCGGCCCCCTTCAATTCAATGTTAAAGCGACTGTTCATATTTGTCAAGACTGTTTAGTCCCTATTTGTACAGCATACGGACTTTGATCGTTCATTAAGTCTCCCCATTTTCAATGATATGGCGAGCGCTTTTTTAAGCGTTTTAAGAACTGCAAACATCATTATCTTAAAGCAAAGGGGGGTGACCTCATCGTAGAAAAAACAAACATATCCAGTCTACTGTTCGCCCATGTGTTACGTCGGTATGGTAATTATTTCAACGCCTGAAGAAAGGGAGATTAGAGGAAGGGGGCATTTTGAACTCTGAATTATAGCGTAGATGATGACAGAAATTAAATTATTTCAAATTGTTCATCTCCTGGTACATTTACAAGGAGTGCTTACGTGATCTTTAGCACCAAGTTGTAGAAGGCAAGCAGAGACAGAGGAACTGAGGCAATGGTGTAAAGGTATATATACCATGGATATATAGGATTTCATATTTTTATCACTCAAATCGATGAAGGTGCTTTCAAATGTCACGCACTGTCGTCTTTCGATCGATATCGGTCTTTTAGATCTAAAATCTGGGCATTAAAATTATTTTGGATTAATCAATTGATGACCATTCAAATTGACTGAGCGTCAAAATGATTTCAGTTAAGGGCATTCTAAATTTTGTTATCCGCAATCGATTTATTTTCAGGGCCACACAACTATGTAACGTGCATACAAAGTCGTGAACTTACGTACGATTCCAAATTTTGTGCATTGAATTTCGATGTTCGTGCATTCAAATTAACACCGACGGTAGGCCTGAGGAGCCTTTCGGGGCGTTCAATTTCATTTGAGGGAAATCAATGAATTGATTCGTTCTTTCCTGTTTGTATTAGTCGCGTGTGCTTGTTTGTGTGATTTTATATTGTTGGTTTTTTACGACTTTTACGAATTTCTGTTACGAATATTTGTATTTCAAGAGTAAGAATGCGAATTGGTTACATTAATTGTTGCTAGGTATGACAAACATGTAATGGCTTACAAAGATTCGTGCATTAAATTTGATTACATCACAACAATGGCCTATTGTTAGTACAAAGGGTATATTAAATGCATCTTTCCCATACACACCTGAGAAGAAGGCATCCATATATTTAAATACAGTTAAGTTAATAAACGACCCCGCATAGTAAGTCACGCTATTTAGGAAATGGCGATGCCCATTTTTATTGCTGAGAAACTGTACATTAATCTTGCTTGTTTCTCTCTCTTATACAATTTGGTGGGGATTCTTGTAGATTAAAGGGTAAGAATACAATAAATCTCTCAGAATAAACATTATTTCTTGGGGTGAGGTTTCCTTTAACATTTAGTTGCATGACCAAATCGCCAAATTGAGCTAATATAAAGATAAATATATAAATAACGATCTACAAAATATTGAGTGCAAATATGAGGCGCTTGTCACCCACAAAGAAAGCAACTCTTATACAAATAATTCACGTTTGCGAATAGATTACACAGTGATTCATGAATTGTTATATACTGTACCTCACCATTTTATTGTTACCATTTCCGTAAAAGTCAGGCGCGGGTACATGGGGCGACAGGAGCCGCGCCCCCCCCCCCCCCCTCAAAAAAGGGAAAGGAAAGGAAAGGAAAAGGGGGAGAACAATCTGCACCAAACTGGCCCTATTCTGCCCAATAACACCCCCATTATAATTATGGAAAACACTTGTTTTTATTTGGCAGGCTTCATCGAATTCCGTGACTGCACGTTTCAATTACTTCTACTCGCTTGATCGTCTAAGGATCATGGGGTGTTGTAAGGCAGAGACGGTGGCGCTCGTTTTCGCCGCCGTCGAAAACTTCTTCCACTCCGCGATCATCTTCGGATGGCCGTCTCTCGTCTACGTGCTCAAGGACCTCGGTTATTACAGCGATTTATGCCCACCACCCGACGACAACGCCACGACCACCGCGTCGACATCGCCCTTGGTGACAGCGTCTCCCGCATCGATGACGACTGAAGGTGATGATTCGTTGGAGGAAGCCGTGGTCGAATGCGATGCTCAGGATGCCAGACTGTTGCTTATTTACACCATTTCATCGAGTATGTTACCATGCAGTATGCTCTTATCGGGGATTCTCTTTACAAGAGGAGGTACCCTCATCACCCGTCTCATATTCAGGTTGGTTACCCAGAATCATCTTGATTATTACATCATCATTATGATCATATAATTATCATAATTGCATTTCATACGTGCAAAATAATGTATCGCAGTATCTTTAATGGTTCTGCTCTTTAAATGAATTTTTCATAGATTTCCATTTTATCTCCCCCCCCCCCAAAAAAAAAAAATATATATATAGATATTATATATATATATATATATTTAAGCATTTCGCAATTTCGCGTGCTCGCGCGCGTTTTCGTTTGTCATGGCCGTACGCAACATAAAATCACCATTGTTTTCTATCCTGATATTTCCCTTTTGTTCCGAACAATATGATACCATGTTCATCTCTTTATGAACATTACGAATGAGTGTTCGTTCAAGATAAATGTCCGTGCGCGCGAGGTCTTTTAATAAATAGCATATATGGGTAAAACATGCCTATAAAAATTCCATAATAGCTCTTTGGGATGCTTGGGGATCCCCAATTTGTTTTCATATTTGAGATAGAGTATGAGTCGGAGATAATGATTTCATGTCTCATTTGGCCATTAAATATAATTATATAAAAAAAATACGAAATTAGCATATTACGACGTCAAAAAAAATTTATGGAAAATTTATTGTATCTCTGTATATATTGATCGATTTCCTTCCAGATGTTGATATGTTGTAGCTGAGAAAATTCTCTACAAGTTTAGGATCACAATTTTTCATTTTTATGACGTCATTATAGTTTAAAATTGCGATTAAAGGCGACAATACATGTCAGAATTTTTCTTCATTTGCGTGTTATGCCGTTCTCAGATTTGCATGTAGTCAATGGGATATTAAAATCTATTGGATAACCCACTTGTCTGCAGTGCTAAAGGTTGTAGGTTCGATTCCTAGAGTGTCCACTTTTGTTTAATGTCAAAAGGTCATTCACCTCCATCAAATTCACGACAGATCACCTAATTCGTCCTTAGTGACGAATTAAATTTCTCGTTTTCTTTGTAGTGTATCCCTATTCATAGCTTACCTGTGTATGGCGCTCAGCTCCCCGTCTGTTCCCGATCTCCTCTTCCCGGGAACAATTATTATGGCGGTTACAGGGATCTTCATCTGCATTTGTGGATTTGAGGTATGTTGATTTAGAAGTAGGCAGTGGTGGATCTATAGGGACATCTTGGGCACGTCCAGCCCCCCCCCCCCCCCCCCATTCCCCCGGCGAAAAAAATCAGGGGGGAGGAGGAAGAAAATATTTTTTTCACAGGCTGATTTGTTTTCCCTTGTCACAAAATATTCGAAGTTTTACCCCCCCCCCCCCCCCCCTGCCAGTGAATCCTAGACCCGCCACGGGTAGCAGTATAGTAGTAGTAGTAGTTGTAGTAGTAGTAGTAGTAGTAGTAGTAGTAGTTGTAGTAGTAGTAGTAGTAGTAGTAGTAGTAGTAGTAGTTTTATTAGTAATTAATATGGTATTGCCAGTAGAAGTAGTAGTATTAGTAGTAGAAGTGTTAGTGGCAGTACTAGTTGTATACAAGTAGAAGACGAAAAAGTAGTAGTGAAGCAGAAGAAGTATTAATGGTAGTGGTTGTAGGTGTTACTGTTTTAGTAATTTGATGTGGTATTACCAGTATTAGTAGTAGAAGTAGTAGTAGTAGTAGTAGTAGTAGTAGTAGTAGTGGTAGTACTAGAAGTATTGGTAGTAGTAGTAGTGGCAGTAGTAGTAGTAGTAGTAGTAGTAGTAGTAGTAGTAGTAGTAGTAGTAGTATAGTACTTGTGGTATTGCCAGTAATATTAGTAGTAGTGGTAGTAGAAGTAGTAGAAAAAGTTCATTTTATTACTCGTTTTATTGTCAGAAGGCTAATCTACCACAAGCTTCATTGCATAAATTTAGAAGAAGAAATTATCAGATACAAGCATGAAAACAGGTGCAAATATCGAAATATGATACAACATTGTCTTTCTCTCATCTCTTATTTTCTTTTAAAATTGGAATCACCATATAAATATTATGTATTAAGCATATATACCACTATCATTATACGTTTCTGTTTTCTTTTGTTTCACTTTTAAGGTATCCAATTTATTTCCGAAGTATAAGTCAACATCGCTAGGACTCATCGTCGGGGCCTGCGATTCCAGCGCATGCGTTTTACTGTTAATCAAGGTAAAATATGACCAGGGGTGTTTCACAAAGATCCTAAGTCGAACTTAACTCTAAGTTGGACTTAAAAGTTATGGAGAACTATTTGTAGCCTTAAAATAAAATATGTTCAAAAGCGAAAAATATTTTAAACTTTTCATAAATTCCACATCGAGAACATGAAATCTTCTTGATAGTAGAAAATATGAATGATTTGAATCAACATTTTATGCCTTTAAAATAACTTTAACAAAAGATATTTAAAGATGATAACGGCTTTCCATAAATATTAAATCCAACTTAGAGATAAGTTCAACTTAGGATCCTTGTGAAACACCCCCAGATTTTCATGATACATTTATCGTTGAGACAATCTCATACAGATATACAAATTGAAATATGCATTTTAACTCTTCTAGGTCGACAAAACTACGACTGTTTTTTTTTTTTTTTTTAATCCTAGCTATTTTACGCTAGTTTAATTGGGTGTTCTTTTTCAAGAAACTTATTACTTGCTGAAACCATCTTTGTAGACCAGTTTTGCAACCCACTAATTTAAGGTGACTTAATTAATATCAGAATTAAAGTTTTATATTTCTTTCTTTTTCTGTATTTACAATTACACAATTTTACATTAATTGATTGATGATTGATCAATTATAATTACTAATTTCACCAGACTGCTATGTGGGTAAGCAACCAGAGGACCTAATTCCTCTCCGAGTGACTTGGTAATGTGGATTTACAGAAAAGGCAGTAGCGTATCGACTTGGTTTTGAACCCGGGACCTTCTGTTATGAGACCACAGCTCTGCCATTGAGATATTAGTACTCAGGGTCTGCTAACTTGTACATTTAATGTTGGGTTGTTAATGTTAGCAAATGTATGGATGTGTCGTGGGGTACTGGTTCATTCACTAAACTAAACTCTCAATCTAAGGGTTGAGGGTTCGAATCCCAGCCCGGCACTTAGCGTCCTTTGGCAAGATATTAATCCGCTTTTGACACCCTCCACCCAGGTGTAAATGGCTACTTGGAAATTGCTGGGGGTAATGGTAATTGCAGGGTCCACAGGAAGAGGAGTATTTCTACTGACGTGGTTATCTAGCTGAGTAAATAAGACCAAATCATTATTAGTATCATTATTACTTTTACTGCTACTACTATAAATACTCTTTTGCAGGTCTTGTACGATGCTGGCATATCGATGAGCGCGTCTTTCTACGCCCTGGCCGTCTCGACCCTCTTCTTCACAATAAACACCGTCCTCCTTCCTCGCGACCATATACCATGGCCCCTACCTGAAGGCTATCGACTTCGAGATGATGGAATATGCTCAAAGAACAAAGATGAACCCCCGGAGCCGCCCCTCCAAATTCCAGACAATCCGATAAATGGATCGACAATAGAGACGAAGGATAACAACAATAAATACGTGACTGTTAATGACGCATTTGATGGTGTAATGTCGTCAGGATTTTATTCAAATTTAAATGAGAATGGTATAATGAATAATCACATTTGCTCGGATGACGTGTCTATTGAAAAGAGGGCGGCATCCCCGGTTGCAGAACCGGAGACTGGAGAGAAGGAGGGATCGATTTTAGCGAAGGATGTTAAAGATAATGAGAAGGAGAATGGCAGGGTTGTGTGCCATGATAACGCAGGATATGAACACGATCATGAGCAAGGTACATTTAAGATTTTACTTTATATGGTAGTAAAGTAATAGGCTACGTGCAGTAACATATAAAGTTAATTCACTTTGTTGAACTAACCAATGATCATTAATAAACTTATGTGCAGAAATTCATATACATTTTGATAATGATGGTGGTGATGATAATAATAATAATAATTATAATGAAAATAACAATAATGATAATGACAATAATGGTAATAATATCAATATCAATAGTAATGATATTAATAAAGATAATAATAATGATTTTAATAAAGATAATAATAATGATAATAAAAATAAAAAATGAATAAATAAAGGAATAGATAGAAGACGAAGATACATGTCATTACTATACATTCAGAACGATTTATGCGAGCAAAAAAAAGTGATGTAATGTGCAATATTAACACTGACAAAACTACTAGAGGATTCACTTTAGAATATTCATTTTCACGCAAACCATTTCTCATTTCGCGTTAAGCACAAGATGGGAACTTTGACGCTATTCTCGAAACCGATCTCAAAATTGCTGGTCAGAAGCTCGATAACGAGGCCGACGTCCGCGTCGACGTCGAGCTTTCCAAGGCGGCTCGTCGGGCGACCAGGGATAAGCTGACCGAAGACCAGCGAGTCGAAGATTTCCCGACCACGTGGTCGGTCCTGAGGTCGCCCATGTTTCTCCTGATGACGTTCTGGACGATCGCGGTTCAAGGGGAGATCTTCTTCGTGATCGGGATCATGAACCCGTGGTTGACGTTTCTAGCCGATGGCGATACTGAAACAGGTCGGTGACGTACTATATACATGTGTACTGGGGGAGGCGTTACACAAAACTTGTCATCAGTGACAAAATGAAAGTTTATGTTATAAGCAACTGAAATCCTTGCTTCTGATTGGTTATCAGCAGATTTTTTTTCAGTGATTTTTGTAACTTGTCATTGAAAAAAGACTTTGTGAAACGGGTTCCCGTTCTTTGGTTGTACGACGCTTGCTTTTTGCGACAATTATTGTTCCGCGCCCATTTTTCTTACCCTAACCGACCGAATTCATACATTCAACCCTAGACCCGACACCATGCCTAGCCCTAACCCTAAACATAACCCTTAACATAACCTAAAACCCAATTCAACCCCAACTTTATACCTCTGACGAAATAAAGCCAGGGGCTATTTCACAAAGATCCTAAGTTAAAGAGTTATCTTTAAGATGGACTCTAAAAATATGGAAAGCCGTTAGCATCTATGAAAATATGTTGTAAAATTTATTTTTAAAAGGCATAAGATGTTGATTCATATCATTCGTGTTTTCTATTATATCAGGAAGGTTTCATGTTCTTGATGTGGAATTTATAAAAAGTCTTACATACTTGAATTTTCGCTTTTGAATATATTTTATTTCAAGGCTACAAATGGCTCTCCATAATATTTAAGTCCAACTTAGAGTTGAGTTCGACTTCGGATCTTTGTCTTTGTGAGCCACCCCCCCCCCCCCCCTGGAACAATTGTCGCAGAAGCTAATTTCCGGTCACCAATTCTTAGACTGAATTGAAACGGGAAAGTGTGGTGATAAATAGCCAAGGGGATCTCCATAATCAATAAAAAGTCTTGTATATATTGCACGTTAAGTGCTCTATATTCACTGTGCGTTATTTCCCCGTTTTTCAGCCATTTGCATGTACTCGGTTTTTCGAAGTTGTGTATTAATGATTGTAACTGGTTTAATAATAATAATATTAATAATAATGATAATAATATTGTTTACCCAGGGAGGCCTCATCAGCTTCAAAGCTAAATCAAATCAAATCAAATCTGTTCTTCCTGATGAGGGCACTGGAAGTGTCTGACTGGTAGATGGGTTGCTTGCAACGTGCCCCGACCCCCTTTTATACATGTAGAAAATGACCCCCCCCCCCCCCTTACCGGTGTTGAATCTGCCCGTGTACTTAGTATTAACCGCTCACTCTAAACATTCGGAAATCCTATTAATATCTAATCATAAGTTTCAGTATTTTCGAGAGAGTAATGAATAAGTTAAAATATGCTGTTCTTTCTTTCTTTTTACTTGTTTCTACATAGTAAGTTTTTATACCAACATCTTAGCTGTGGCAACTATAGGAAGTTTGTTCGGGTCGCCTATTATGGGTTATGTCTTCGACCGACGAAAACAACGTTCTGAAAAGTCTCCGAAGAAAGGTAAAATTGTTGACAAACTAGTTCATGCAATTTATATATCTCAGGGGTGACCCGACATATTTTTTCTCAAAGATATATAACATTGGGTTAGACAAATGGATTCATGTTGTGGAATCGATCAGAAAAGGTTGATCATCTAGCATATAAGTATTGGTGTGTACTGCAAGGTTCTGGAATCATTAAAATGATAAGAAATTTGGCCCAGTCATGGTAGCTTTGCAAGCACTGTAAAATTTATATGGGACTACACGAACATTTGACATGAAAATGTATTCCCAAGTTTTATGATGGTTCATGCTATATTTAGAATATTAAGACATTTGAAGAGCCATGCTTTTCAGGGAACATTTTTTTTTGTATCTGATGTTCTTCCGCCCTTGCCTAATACAATGATAACGCTCACAAATTATTTTTCATCTACTCCCAGAAGTCAACCTTCTCTTTAAGTGTTTTTTCCATAATAATTCACTCCTTTAACATGTCACACCGTGCTTATCTCTCCTTTTTTTTTAAAAGCAGATGACACAAAAGGACCATATGCGGACTTGCGAGATAGCTGGCTACCACTGGCCGTGGCTTCGGGTACAGCCATAGTTATGTCTTTGTTACTGATGATCCCTAACCTCCCCGTACAGTTCGGTACCTTCGTCGCACTGACGGCTGTCAGAGCCATGTTTTATTCTGCATCTGCAGCCATAGTACCAATAAGGTAAGTCTTTATAGGTAGAAGATCATACCATAGATTTCCACTTGTTATCGATCTTTGATGGTAATTATGAGAGATGTAACAAGTGCTAAGGAGGTGGTGGTGGTGGTGGGGGGGGGGGGGCTGGCGGACGCACCCTCCCCTCTCCGGCCCATCGAATGGCAAAATGAACAAAAAGAGAGGGGGATCGAAGGAGCGATAGAGAGAGAGAAAGAGAGAAGGAAGAAATAAAGAAATTGAGAGGGACAAAGGGGTGCTTTCGAAAGATAGAATACCCCCCCCCCCCCCCCCAGTCCTATCCTCATTACTAGATGCCTCGATTATTCCTGTTTATTATCATTTTATCAATATTATTTTAAGGAACGATTGGACTTTGGGATAATATAACCTGGCTTTTGTGCACCTAAAGTTGTTTTCATAAGCATCATTAAATCTATATGTCTACTTATTTGAAAATCTATGAATTTGACCTTGGACTTCGACATCAATTTTACTATTGTCTTTTATTTATTTTATGTTTCTGAATAGTTTTCCCATGCGATTTTATCCGACTGTGTTCGGAGCTACAAACTTCATCGCTGGTCTAGTCTCCCTTACACAGTATCCTCTCTTCATTGTCATCCAGGAATCATTAGGCGGTGATCCCCGATGGGTAAGATGAAATATATCTATAATATTTATTATTTTATTTAGTGATTTCATTTCCAGGCAGTTAAACAAAAAATAAAATACAGAGACAAGGGAAGTAAGAAATACCACCGACTAGTGCCCGAGGATAGTCAAAAGGAGATTGTTGCCTGCTGATATTAAGTTGTTTTTAATAGAAGCAGAAACATGAGAGTAACAGGTAAGTGAACGTTAGAGCAATTTTGTTTGAAGATACGATCAATCAAACACAAATTGGCAACTCTGTGACGTATCTTGCGAGGTCTCCTCCCATTTTCCCTGTACTGAAAAAAAAAATCCTTCGAAGAAATTTCCAATCATCCATTCACTTAGATTTTCTTTATTGTTTCTTAATTTGATAAAAAATAGATAATATAATGTTTTTTATTTGAAAAAAATTAGTTGTAATCAGATTACTCATTATAGAAGGTCAATATGGTTCAAGCTCTGCATTTCAACAGCTTACATTCTTCTTTTACTTGTTCTATGTACGTCCTACTACATTTACTTGTATTATTGACACAATTTATTTATCCGTATATATTGTTTTGCAACCGACATATCCGCTTGCAACATTTTAAACGACTTATTAAACTTCTAGATCTCTATATGAAGGTAAATCTTTTCTCTTTTCACTGTCCGTTGTCCGTTGTCCATAAAGTAAGTAATGCACATCAGAGGATCTTGCAGTGTAGTAGAATATTATTTGCACAATCAATGCGCTCTATAGATTTGATATCATCTGTCATTTTGTTATCAAAATATTACTTTCCTTCCAGGTGATCTTTGGGATGATGCTTCTCAACGTGGTTGGTCTGGTGTACCCTATATACATCTATGTCTACGGAAATAACCGCGAGAAGCGATACTTGGAATCGAGAAGACCAGAAGAAGACCCAACTACAAACGGCACTGCTGCTTAACCCTCTCCCCGTTTTATTCGACTAAGACCCCGGTTGCACCAACGAGACCGTCACCACACTGACAACCTACGAAAGGTCTCGTAGACTAGTGGTTTATTTACTTGACCCTCAATTCGAGGGTCTAGGGTTCGACTCCCCGCAAGGAACGAACACCCTGTGGCAAGGTTTACTTGATCGCCCTTGTCTATCCTCCCGTTCAGACTACCTAAATTCATCGTACGGCTATACGATCAGTAATTACGATTATGTATAGTCTGAACGTCTGGTAACGAAACTGACTCCTCTCTAATTAAGACAGCTTCTCAATAGGTATCATTCAATATTTGTTCCTTAAATTGTGTAATTATGTGAAAGAGGATGTCATTTTATAAGAGATACTACTTGTTAGATCCGCTACTGGTTAAATTGTAAACTGCTGCTAAAGTGTGATCTGCTGCTGAAGTGTAAACTGCTGTTGGAGTGTAAACTGCTGCTAGATTATAATCTGCTGCTAAAGTGTAATTTGCTGCCAGGGGGGTTATGGGTCGACCCCCCACCCCCCCCCCCCAAAAAAAAAAATTGTTTGGTGTGTTTTGGAGGTAAACCCACCCTCAACCCTCAAAAAAAAAAATTGTGGTAATGGGTGACCAAAAAAAGGTGACCTTACCCCCCCCCCCCCCCTACGGAACGATCGGTCTTTAAAAGGACGTCAGACGTAGCAGTCCACTAAAAGTGCAAATCAAAAAGTCCCCCTATTTGCCCGACACAGGTCTGCGTCACCGACTGGCGGTGTCTGCATTTATTTATAAGTTAGTTCATGAAAGCTATATAAGAGGAGGTGAAAAGTTTGTAGAGATGTGATATGTAAAGCAAAAATTTAAAAATGGAAACAGGGAAAAGGAAATCGGAAAGAAAAAATAGAAAAGGTATCACGAGGCTGAAAATGGAAGGGGAAGTAAACCCCTCGCAGAAGAATGATAAGATTGAAAGAGAAGATTGTGCCATTAATGGTTAAACAAAACGGATAAGTGCGAATAAAGGGAAAGAGGAATATGGAAACTAAACCTGATATTAAAAAAGAGACTGTCGTTATTGTTTAGCTAAGGGCTTACAACAATGCCGGTTCTAACATCATGCCAAATTATTAAATATTTATTTTGAGTGTGTTGTTTATCAAAGTTGACTGTAGTAAACAAATTGATTCTTCTTCTTAATGTGTGCATCATTGACATTTCAAATGCCATTTAATGAATAACCTTTTTTGTGATGAGCTCAAAAGTTTGCCTTATTTATATAAATATTTTCGATATTCAGATATGGTGTTTTGAAGAGGTTGATTAACTTTGTGTTAAAAAGAGAATGTAGACGCAATGCTGCTAAATTATGTTCTATATGTTTACATACTATGTTGATGTTAATGTTACACAATAATGTTCCAGAAATTAAGTACATTTCACTTGATTTAGGTGCGTGATCAAATCACAAAGAAAAATGATTGTCGTAAAATTCATTCTAGGACTAAAGGTTGTTTTTCGTAGATGAATTAAGTATACTATGCCATAAGGTCGTGCATACAGGCTATCTGTTACGTGCAGAAATAAAATGTGATTTTTTTTTTCTTCATAGAATCATCAGATGGTATAAACTTTTTTTAGGAGAATTTGAATAATATAGTCATTCAAACTTTTCAGATTTAATATTCGTATTTTCAAATGTAAGCAATAGTTCCCTTATTCCGACCTGATCCAATTGAAATATACGTGGAAAATGTGCATGACATCATTACCTTTTCTAAATAGCTTTACCAAATTAATTCACTATATTTTCTATGAATAAAATAATGAATTTTATTAGGCCTACTTTGAATTTACTCCTATTTTTGACATTTATGACTTAAATGATCTGAAAGAACGAAGAAAGAGGGAAAGGTGAGTAGAGATAGAAATTGAGGTAACAAATAACGAGAATGTGAAGGGAGAGAGAGAGAGAGAGAGAGAGAGAGAGGGATGTAGAGCAAGAGAGGGCAAGAGAGAGGGAGATGGGAAGGTTTACAGAAAGACGGAGTAGAATGTGAGATATATAACTAAGATCGGAGGGGTAAATCAATCAAAAGAGAGTAAATATGAATACAAACAAATATAAATCGCTTTCGTTAAACTAACTTTACAGGAACAGTCCATTATGAAAACAAATTATGCCCGAAACGTAATAACTTGGAATTACAATGGACGGATGGAATTCATTGACTACATAGTATGAAAAACTGAACCTGTCTTATATTCAAGTCTCATTCAAAATAATAAAACGAAAATATTTTACCCACATTCTATAATCAAAGAACAGGAAAAGGCACACATATAATGAAATAACTTCAAACTGATGTCATGTTCGATTGAATTATTCTTTAAGTAATAATTTTTTTAAAAAATATTTAATCATAATGTTATTAGTAGAAAACGAAAATTATTGAAATCTCTAGGTTTGGTTAATTTTCGATTTGTTTGTCAAAAATTACATTAACATAATTTCTAAAGCCTACAATTTTCACGTAATCTTCAAAGATATTAGCATCCAGGCTCGCTATGTAGGTCCACGGCAGAACCGTACAAGATCGACGGGCTCCGGGATGCTCTGGAACCTGCACCGTGCTATACATCCCATCACCTCCCGGAACATCGGCATAGTTCCCGCATAGAGGATGGGGTTGATACAAGTGTTGAACATGATCAGAAGGTTTGCCCAAGGAACAGCTGGGTCACTGGTAGGCACCATCACGCAGATCCCGAATGGGAGGAAACAGATGAAGAAAGAAAGCACCACCAAGGACAGACGTTTGGTGACGTTGATATGGTGGCGCGAAATCTTTGGCGCGCTTTTAGTCGAGCCCTTGGCGCCATGAGTGGATGCCTGGGGAGCCCTTCTGTGATTGGATGATGTCGACGAGTTTTCTAGGTTCTCCTGGCTAATGCGATGGTCGTTTATTGATACTGTATTCTCAGCTTGGGAATTCACATTAGACAGCTCTATTTCACCCAGGGCAAGTACTCCAGGTTCAAAGACTTCACTGCATGGCCTAGTTGTTTCTGGAACATGCGAAACGTTATGTTGACTTTCATCACCCTCGTCATTCGATGGTGCAAGGTTGACTGGACCTGTCAAGGTAGGTGCACCATCCATGTTCCGGCTGTTTGGAAGTGTAGGTCGCATACCAACTCCAGAAGTTGCTCTCGAACCATCCGTGACTACACTCCTCTGCCGATCCCGGGATTCTGTCCAGCTCGTGCTCATATCAAGACTGGTTCGGTCAAAACTAGAAGTCCCGGCTTCCCTCGACTCGGCCAATCTTTTCCCCATAGCTTTGTTATGACGCGAAACGGATCGGTAGATGAGCACGTACATGACAACGATGATGATAGATGCCGGGACGATGACGCCTACCGCTGCTATGAGGCTGTAGTAGTCCGAGTTCGACAAGGAGGTGTCCTGCTGACACGTCTTGTAGTTTTCTGAATATCCCAACTTCCCGAGTCCTGCCATCGGTGGGACTATGACAAGCAATAATGGGTACATCCATGATAATATCACCATGGCAACAATGTTGCGCCTGGAATAGATACTGTAGAATGTGTATCGAGGCCTGGTGAGGAGGACCCACCTATTGTGAGCGATTAGAGCAAGGCTGATGATGCTGGTTCCCAGGCAGGTTAGCGTGACGCCTCCGGTCATTGCGCAGATCCATTCGGCGATGGGCCATCCATTCTTGCTCAGCATCGCCACGACGTTGAAGGGAAGAAAGAGACAGGTGATGAGGTCGGCCATACCGAGGTTGACCACCAGCCAGTTGGTGGAAGATCTCAACTTTTGGCAGAGGAGCACGGCGAGCACGACGTGGCTATTCCCAACGATGCCGACGACGGTGACGAGACAGAGGATGGAGGCGATGACGATTCGCTGGGGGTAGCTTTCAAACACGAAGTCATCATTGGTACTACTAGTGGTGAAGGATGAAAAGTCGTCCATATTTTCAAGTTAAATATTCAGTACTACGTACTAGTAACACATGAAAATACTTGACGAAAGCTTAGCCTCTTAATTGCTACTTGAGATACCCGCTATTGATGTAACTCATTATGAGTGTCAGTGAAGCAGAAATTAATGAACCTGCTTCCAAAGAGAAACGATTTATCAATAATCTCCAGTCTGCAAAGATATGAACGTTGAGTTGCTCTTGTACTGAAAGCGGAAGTCCGATACAACGCACGAATAATCGACCCCTAGCAAAAAAAAAAAAAAAAAAACGATTAAAGGTTAAAGGGATAGTTGAGTTTTGTTTCAGTCCACAAATGCCTTCAAAGTGCATGGTTATTGCTCATATTCGTATTCATGACATTTCTATATTATTCCCCCTTGTAGGACCTAAAATTGCTATGAAGGTAATTTTAGACCCCAAAATGTGTGAAATTTAGCCACTACGATCATATTAATTCAGCTCCATTTCCAAAAATAATAACAATACACGGGCCGGCTAGTTGAGTGTATCATATACCCAACACGCAAAAGCAAACAAAAAGCCAAACACCGGCATAAAATTGGCTGAAATGAAACGTATAAAGACGCTATTTCGTTTTTTCAACGGCTGGTTCAAATTATCAAATATTTGTGGGGCCCCACAAATATTAGAAATCGTTATATTAATGGATATTTCAGCCGTCTCTGAGCCGATTTTGATCAAACAAAGATGACGTTGTCATTTAAATTTTGTTGTTTCAAATTTGACACTCAGCTTTTCATTATCTCACCGAAAAACTATTTTGTGTAGCGCCCTCTGCAACAAAAATCAACTATCCCTTTAATTTCTAAAGTCACGATTATCCAAATAGCCAACACAGTAAGGTATCGCTTTAACTTATAAAACTCGACTGTTGGTGTTCGCCGCTGACTGGAAATATCTATTCTAATATAACTATGATAACATAGGCAACATGGCAGAGTTGTTTACTTCCCCTTTTGCTAATTAAGCACGTTGTGTTGTAATTAGTATACAAATATTGACTGCTCATGAGGATGATGGTGGGAACTATCACTCCCAAGGTGGTGTTCATACCGGCCCTTCTATCACCCTCGAGGCGAAGCCGAGGGGGTGATAGAATGGCCGGTATGAACACCACCGAGGAAGTGATAATTCCCACCACCATCCGATTACAG